TTCGATTCCTCAGGTTCTTTAGATTCAGAATATCATATATGAATCGCCTTTAGCTGCGAGCATGCTTATTTACTCAAATTGAATTAATTTCAGCTAAAGTGTGTTCTGCATATGTTACACTACATTCCCTTTTTCCTTGACATAAACTGCAGGATTACTATCCTCCCTGTAAGATTAATCGTTTCTCTTGAGGGAATTCTCATGACCACTGAAGATGGGTGAGATGGACTCTTTACTATGCAGAGGCTCGGGTCAGGTCATAAGCAGATGATGTCGATTTCGCCCAGTGTAGCAGTGCCATCATCTTTAATTGATAGAAACAACGGTTGTGTTTTATTAGTGCGGCTTGTGACTCGTGCATTTAGTTCTCAGCTCTTTGAGGCGATTAAAATTCCAACAAATTTATAGTTGAAGTTCAACGAGAAAGCAACAATGCGTGTTGCTGTCGTGTTATTATTGGTAACATTACTCGTAGTTATAAGGGTCGTCCTAACGGACCAATTCGAGTTGGAAGACAGTCTATTGAGAGTAAGACATTTTTCGTGGAAATTTTCTTGTTATTATTTATGTTTAACGAGTGAATTACTTTTTAGTTTATTACCAAATGATAGATTTTATTCATGTAGAAAGCATTGATTGTAATGTTAATAAAAATAGAAATAGAACTGATGATTATAGTAATGCATAGCGAAATAAGTCAGGTTGTAATATGGGGCATATATTAGAATTTATCGAAATCAGGTGGCGTTGGAGTTTCCGAAGGGTCTGTCTCAAGGATATGAGTGAAAGCTTCTTTGGAGATGTGATATAGTCCATATGCTCATTTGCCATAAATAAATGAAATTTCAAGTTTTTGTTACGGCTGGGAAAGAGGTCGAATAACCGAAATTTTGAAAAATTAACATAAAAATAAAGTTTAGGATCATTGTTATTTGAAGAAAGCAGCTCTGAGAAGCTGTAATTAAGAAAAATTAAGAATGCCTCGGAATCTAAAAATTTCACATCTTATGAGAATTTTTACAAATATGATTACCTAGGTGAACGAACGTTCCAGTTGAACGTTCGAACTGAAAGTCAGTAAACTGAATGGAATTGAACTATGAGGGGATTTTAGAGTGGAGAGAGTCGTGCGACGTATGATCCGTACTACTATGATCGTCATGGTCTGAGACATCATGGGCACCATCATTACTATTATCCTGGCTGGCATTACGATTACCACCATCATGGTCATAATGGATGTAGACGTTCGTGGATGAGCCGCGAGAATGCCAGATGTCACGAATTCGGATGTTGCGATGTTGATGATTAATCTGAAAAGAAAACGTGACCCAATGCATCTCCATATAATTATTCTCTTTTAACTTCATTGGGATTTGCCAATTCACTATTTATTGCGTATATGCATTATTTTCAATGCGATCATATGTCTGCTCCATTTTGAGCTCAATTCCATGACAGTTTATCACTTGTTTATCTTATCACTGCTATTCTTATGATCATTCCTACTGGTATCATTGATATTATTGTCGATATTGCTGTTTATTATTGTCATTCCTATTGATATTCTTGTCATACAATTCATATCCCCATCAAGTTCCAATATTATGGGACTTTTTCGGGTATTCCGACGTTGGTGATAATGCTTTATGAACGGCTCCATCAAATACCATTCCTTATATGATCATGGTTTGTCATATGTTTGATCTTAGTCATTATGATAACACTATTTCATGCTATCACAGTTCTGAACATATCACCATTGCACGTATTATCTTCTGATAGTTGTTGTACAGTCACTTTAACTGAGTTATCGATAAATTATAAATATTACATTACAATTGTATTTAAAACAATGAGTCGGCAACTTGTGCTGCATGTGCAGTGGATATTGGTGATCAAAATTGAGTGCGAC